AGGTGTTTACACCAGAAGTTGGCAAACGTTTTCTGTAAAGGGACAGATAGTAAATATTTTAGGCTTTGTAAGCCATCCAGTCTCTGTTGCAACTGCTCAATTCTGCCGTTGGAGTCAGAAAAAAGCCATAGACAATACATTAATCAATGGGTGTGCTATGTTCCAACAAAACATTTTTTTTAGCTTAAAATAACTATCTCATTATTTTTCACAATTCTTTCAATTGATTGAGACTCAACTGGCTGCTTTTCACTTTGTTTTTTTCTTCTTATTCTTCATTTTCTAAAATTGAGACATAATTGATAAATAATATTATCTTAGTTTGATGTATATACATAATGATTCGATTCCAATAAAACTTATTTTACAAAAACAGACTGCAAGCTAGATTTGAGCTGAGACCATTTTTACTTAACTATTTATATGGTTTAATTTAATCTGAACATCTGGCTATTCTTTTCTATTTGTCCTATTTAGTCTTTATTCTTTTTTGTGTGACTTCTTTGGAATAACAGAGTATTTTTATTAACTCATTTTATCCCTACTATTGGCTTATTAGTTATGACTATTTTTTTAAAGTAGTTGCTCTAGGATTTATAATATACATACTAAATTTATTATAGTCTACCTTGAAATAATTTCCCACTTCATGTACAGTTTAAGAATCAATTTTGTCTCCTAACCTTTGTGTTATTATCATGCGTTTCAATTCTACGTGTTATAAATTCCATAATACATTATTATTATTTGTACTGAGACAGTAAATTTTCTTTTAAAGAAAATAAAAATCAAAAGAAAATGTCTTTTATATTTGCCCTCATTTTATCATTTCCATTGCTCTTCATTTGTGTATGTCAAAATTCCCACTAATATCGTACTCCTTCTGCCAAAAAACTTACTTTACCATTTTGTGTAATATGAGTTTATTGGCCATGAATTCCTTCAGTTTTTGTTTGTCTGAAAAAGTCTATATAATGATAATTTTAAAAAGATATTTACACCCTGGCCTGTGTTTCACAATAGTTAGAGCATCACCCCCCCCCCCACACACACACACATACACACACACATACACATACACCAAAAGGTCCCAAGTTCAATTCCCGGTCAAGGGCACATACCTGGAGAGGCTGCAGGATGGTTGAGACTTTGGGCTCAAGCCATGTACTTCAACTCTAGCCTAAGCGGGAGGCAGAAAAAGGTCAGACCTCACGCTTAGGCTAGAGCAGTGATGGCAAACCTATGACACGCGTGTCAGAGGTGACACGCGAATTCATTTTTTTTTGGTTGATTTTTCTTTGTTAAATGGCATTTAAATATGTAAAATCAATATCAGAAATATAAGTCTTTGTTTTACTATGGTTGGAAATATCAAAAAATGGCTATATGTGACACGGCACCAGAGTCAAGTTAGGGTTTTTCAAAATGCTGACACGCCGAGCTCAAAAGGTTCGCCATCACTGGTCTAGAGGTTAGTGTGCTCCTCCCTTGGACACATTCAACCACCAGGTAGAAGGACACCCAATTGTTACCAGAGCCACAGGGTCTTTATCCCAGGGTGGAGCCTGTGGATCTGGGGGTTCACTGCCTCAGCTGCTCTTCCATTTCTGGGGTGCCGAGGAAGGACCCCAGGACTGGACCGAATTGGGCAGAATTGTTTGCTTAAGCATCTAGTTTGTGTCATTTAGGAAATGAAGGTAAACGAAGCCAAGGAAGGGAGCCGAGGCCCATCTTTGAGAAGCAACATCTTGAGACAGGTCTGAGGGGAGGCTCCTGGGCTCTGACCAGGAAACCAAGCTGAGAGCTGAGTGTGAGGGGATGAGGAGCTAATCGGATGGCTTGCACTGGAGAAGAAGATGGATTCAGGATGAAGAGGGTCCAAAGGTTTCTAGGCTCAGAAGAGGGCCAGACTGCTTGACACGCAGTATCTAAAACACTAACTATCCTTAAACCAGCCACACTTACCCAACTGGGACTCCCACCAACTCTGCAGAAACTAAAAGCGTTTGGGACACATACAGGGTTAAAAAGAAGACATCACGCAAATGCAAGTTCACAAGAGCACTTCCAACTTCATGAAAAATGAGATTAATCAGTGGAAGTAGGAACTTTTAAAGAAAAGAATCAGAACTTCTTCTCTTACAAACAAAGCTCGAACCTCTTAGCAATTACAACTCTGATTGCAAGGATCTTACTCGAGTGCTTGAAGAGTCTTTTTACTGCCAAGAACGAGCGAACTGCACTTCAAATAGTGGAATTACACAGAATTCAGCTCAGGTCTAAATGGGCCCAGACAAATGTCATAGACCATTCTCAGACTGAAATAAGAATGCGGTTTTTGGTTTCTTAGGGGGTGGATGTTTTTGTTAAGGTATACAATTAATTCATAGTCACTTAAGAAAATCTGCAAAATACACAAAAGTGTAAAAAAGAAAACAAATATCCATAATCCAGAGATGATTTACATTTTAAATATTTTCAAAACAATATTTTTGTGGGTACTGCTCCTCCCTCCTCACAAATCAGGTTATATTAAATTAAAAATTGTTTCCAGCTATTTCCATTTACTCCATCAGGAACAATTTTCCATTGCCTTAATTATTCCTTTAAACATACTTTTAAATATTATTCCATAATGTTACATTTTATGGATATGCCACCATTTATTTTAATCATTTTTAACTGATGATCAATTAGGTTATTTCAATTTTTTAACCTTTTAAATACAATTCCAGTAAATATCCGTGGCTGTAATCTTTGTGCATCTCTCTGATTATTTCCTTAGGAGGAATTCTCAGACTATTAAGATTTGAGAGCTTCTCCATACTCACTTTCAAATTACTTTTCAAAATGGTCTCACTTCTTTTTACTCACCTTAACAATGTGTGAGCATGGCACTGAGCATTATCATTAAAAAAAAAGAGAGGGAAAAAACAAAAAATCTTCGTCTGCTTGTTAGTTGAAAAATGGGATCTAGCTGTTTGGTTTTGTCTTTCATATGTTTATCGAATGTTTTTCTTCTATGAATCATCTTTTTGTGCCATTTACTGTTTTTTATATTTGGGGTAAGCAACTTGCTTTAATTTTGATGCAATTTCGCTGTAGCAAATCCAAAGGGGATCCTAAAAAGAAACTCATGAAGCTAAAAGCCTTTTGATTTATAGCTTTAAGCTTTCCAAGGATTCCGAGGCAAAATGTAAAGGAAATTGGAGGTTTTTCTAGAGCACAGTCTCTCAAGGTGTGGCCCTTGGACTCTATGCATCAGAACCAAGGAGTGAGAGAGGAGGGTCACATGTATTTAAATCACAGATTCCTAAACCCCACTGCAGACACACACAGTTGGCATCTCTGACAGTTGGGCCCAAGAACCCACATTTCTATAATCTCCAGGTATGTTCAATTTTTCTTGAACTCGATTAATGAATTATCACTCATCTATTCAGTCCTCCAAGTTAGAAAAATTACAGATATCCCATTCCTTGCATCCCTTACCTCTTCTCATGTATATAAGAATTTTACCAACAAATGTCTTTAAATTTATTTTCTGCTCCTTCTCACCACCTCTTAGTTCTGTTCCTTATGAGCGTCCTCTCTTCTTTCCCTTCTACTATTTATTCTACCCTACCCTTACAGTGCCCTGGGTAAGGATAAGCATACATTCTTAGTAATGTGTCCACAAGTTTCTACTTATTGTGCAAAAGGTTCTAAATAAATATCCTCCCCACCACTCCCCTTCCAATTTTTTGCAACCCTTGAACTCTTCCTTATTCTAGTTGGAGGACTGGAGAACACTAGAGAAGTTCTGACAAAACTCAGTAAGAAGCTTGAAAAGGCAAGAGACAGCTATAGGCAGTGTGACAACACGATTCAAGGTGTGGCCCACATGATTCAAGGTGTGGCCCTCAGGGTGGCATGCCCAAGTGTCTGAGAAGACAGGGCATGTGAGGCCATACTGTTGAATGGGTCATCTACACAGACCCTAAAATAGCTCACATGGATGCTGTTATTCACAGAGAGCCAGGAATATGAACAGTTCAGAGTAACATTTCTCCGTCCCTGAAAAAACAACTTAGAGCAAAGAACAAAGAGTTACTGTGTTGTTCCTCCCATGTAAAAGGAAACAATAATTTTGATGGATTTGGTGGGACATTGGGGAGCCAAGTCAAACTGTGTGTGATTGTTTTATAAAGGTGCTAGGACTTAATTTTCAGATCTGGAAATAAGAACAGGTGGTGGCTGATGGCAGGAGTCACAATGGTTTCCATGACAACGGGATTGGGTTTTAGTCATCCTCCCATCCTCCACAAAACCTTCTGCAGCTTTTCTCATAAGGTGCTTATTAAATATTTGTTAAATGAATCACGAATCACAGAATGGTGTGTGTACTTTGCAATTAAGGCTGCCGTTCTCTAGCTAGCTAAAAGCTTTTAAAGCAACACTAATTACTGTATTTACACGATATTTTGCATAATTTGCATATTAACTTAACCTGAAAATAATAAGCTACAGATTTCCACCCCTGCTGAACAGTCCTGTCCCTTATCTGTTCCCTATGGTGGAAGTAGCCCAGATGCTTGAAATGACCTTAAGGGTGGTGGTGGTGTGTGTGTCTTAAACCGTATTTGTTCTCCCACATTTGCTAGAACGCTTGTTTCCCTGTACCACCACCATCTCCCTCCCCACTTTCCAGCCCCTGCTCCCCTTCTCCTCAAACCCTCCGCCCCCGCATCTGCGCAGTCGCCCCCGTGCAGGCGCCAGCCAGCCCCTCCCCCGCGCCCCTCTTCCCGCGCTACCGCTCCAGCCCGTGGGGCCCAGCCGTGAGCACAAAAGGCCTTGGCAGCCGGCGTCCCCGCGTTGCCCTTGGCAACCATTGGAGTAGCATCTCCTGCCTAGACCCTGCAAAGAGGTAGTAAACGGGGCCTCCATTGGCTGGCCGGGAAAGGCAAGCCAATCGGAGAAGAGCTTGTAGGGAGGCGGCTGAGCGGAGATTGTAGGGGTAGGAAGTTAGGGTTAGAGGCAACCGGTGAGGCTAGAACCCTGATCGTGGTCGGTTGGCGCCAAAATGTCTGTCCGGAGGCACATTGGGAATCCTGAGGTGAGGGCCAGGTCCGGATCGGAGAGGCGGAGGGGGCGGGCGCACCGGAAAAGGCTCCACGTGGGCAGGGAAGAGCAGCCGGCGACTTCCGCCGCCCCCAAGGCGGGAAGCGGCCGGCGTGAGGAGGGGTCTGGAGGGGGAAAGGAGGCGGGGCGGGCCGGGGGCGCGGAGCCCAGGCCTTCCTCCCGCGCTGGGCCCCCATCCCGCCCTTGCTCACCCCTTGCTCTCTGCACGCCGGTATTTGTCGCCGAGAGGAGCGAAGTGCATAACGACAGACACAGCCCCTTCCCTCAAAGGGCTTGCAATCTAGGAGCGGCAGATACAAAACATGAGGAACGTGCCATTGCAGCCCGAACACTAAGGAACACCATCAAAAGCAGCTATCACGGCTCATTATGGCAGCGGTTCTCAACCTGGGGGTCGCGACCCCTTTGGAGGGTCGAACGACCCTTTCACAGGGGTCGCCTAAGACCATCGAAAAACACATACAATTACATATTGTTTTTGTGATTAGTCACTATGCTTTAATAATGTTCAATTTGTAACAATGAAAATACATCCTGCATATCAGATATTTACATTACGATTCATAACAGTAGCAAAACTACAGTTATGAAGTAGCAACGAAAATAATTTTATGGTTGGGGGCCACCACAACATGAGGAACTGTATTAAAGGGCCGCGGCATTAGGAAGGTTGAGAACCACTGCGTTATGGGGTTACAGAAAGAGCAGCCATCAGCAGACCAAGCCTCTGGAAAGGGTGCAAACTATGACATTCGTTTCACCCCCACCCCACGGCACCTTTTACTTTGTCTGTTCCGCCCCTACTGCCCTGCTGCATTTGTGTTCATTTAATTTCCACTCGTGTTCATTGGACTCCCACCTTGGAGTAGGAGCTAGACATGCAAAGACAGTGAGTCAAGGCCTTGGTCCTGTAATGAGTTCAGTCGAGCCAGGGAGACTTGTAAACAGAATTGGATGCAATGTGGTTCGGGAGCAACATGTAAGAGAGCCCAAGGGGACGATAGGACCGCACGGAGGGAGAGAAGGGCGCTGGAGTGGCCGGAACCGGCCAGGGGTTGGGCCAGGCAAAGAAGCGCTGCAGGTGGGACAGGGTATGCTTGGCAGAAGGTGTGAAACAGGCAGTGGCAGTTCCCTGCAGAGCCCAGGCGTCAAGTCCGGAAGGGCCTTCTGTGCCTTGCTAAAACGCCTGGCCTTTCTTACTGTCCAGGCGTTGCAATTTATTTTCTTTTATTTTCATCTCAGGGTGGATGCCTGTGAGCTGTGTTGACAAAGTTGTGAGGCTGAGCTTAGGCTCCACAGGAGAGTGCCAGGATGGATTCTGTATGACAGTGATGGCGAACCGATGACACGCGTGTCAGAGGTGACACACGATCTCATTTTTTTTTTTGGTTGATTTTTCTTTGTTAAATGGCATTTAAAAATATAAAATAAATATCAAAAATATAAGTCTTTGTTTTACTATGGTTGCAAATATCAAAAAATGTCTATATGTGATACGGCACCAGAGTTAAGTTAGGGTTTTTCAAAATGCTGACACACCGAGCTCAAAAGGTTCGCCATCACTGCTGTATGGTCTCTACCATGGAGGTGAGGGAGGGAGGTGTGGAGAGCGGCAGTCAAGCTGCCATATGTTTCTCTTGTCTGCCGGCCAGAATCCAGGAAGCCTTTTAAAGTAAAGAGGGACGCGATCTGATTTGCATTTCAGGCCGTGGTTGGGACACCTTGTGGAGAATGGATCTGAGGAGCCCAGGTCTGGGCCTAAGGAAACGGGTTGGGAGGTTATGATGTTATAGACCTAAGCAGCGGTTCTCAACCTGTGGGTCGCAAACAATGAAAATACATCCTGCATATCAGATATTTACATTACGATTCATAACAGTAGCAAAATTACAGTTATGAAGGAGCAACGAAAATAATTTTATGGTTGGGGGTCACCACAACATGAGGAACTGTATTAAAGGGTCGCGGCATTAGGAAGGTTGAGAACCCCTGAAAGGCCACAGCATGAGGGACAGAATTGAGAGAAATATTTAGGGGGTAAAATCATCAAGACCTCATCATTCGTTTTGAGAAACGAGAGAGTGATGGATGGTTGGTTCCCAGCTTGGGCTCCTCATTGGTGCCGATGCCGTGCTAACGGGATCAGGAATGTGGGTGAAAGAGGACGGCCGGAGGAGCAGAGACGTGTGATGATACATTTGTGTCCTAAAGGAAGACGTCCAGCTTCCTCTCTTGTTTTAGCGGAGCACCGTTTCCTGTAGTTTCTTGGAAGTGCATAAGAAATAAATATATATTTTTTATTTATGCCTAAGATGTTGGGCCTGTCTAAAAATGTTAGTCCTCTACCTTCGCATGTACTTGCCTGAACGTCTGGTTGAGTATAGGATTGTTAGTTGGAACTCCATCCGCATTTTGAAAACATTGCATTGTGATCTTCTAGCTTCCAGTGTTGCTGTGGGAGAAGTCCAAAGCCATTCTGTTCCTTTGCATGGGACTTGATTTTTCCTCTCTGGAAACTTGTAGAATCTTCTCTTTGTCCCCAGGGTTATGATCTTTCACAACAGTATTCCTTGCTCTGTTTTCACCCATATTGTTAGGTACCAGAAAAACGTGTCTTTCTGTTCCATAAAGTTTTCTTGAATTATTTTGTTGTTGACTTTCTCCCTCCTGTTTTCTCCATCCTCTCTTTCTTAAATTAATTATTGTGTTGCTGCTTCTATATGATTGCTTCTCAAATTTTTAAAAATTTTATCTCCTTTGTTGTTGATGACATTATTACAGATGCCCCCCCCCCCATATCCCACCTCTTTGCCCAACACCACCACCACACCCTCCCAGCCTGGGCTTCACCACACTGTTGTCTTGGGCAGTTAAGTGGGGGCGTAGGGGCTTTGGGCTAGAGAATCCTGGCATTGCGCGACTTTATAAGATCTGAATTACATTATCTTGCAACGCGTAGATTGAGTTTGTGAAGGGTGCGGGGGGGGGGTG